CCACCTTGTGCCCCAGACATATGATGTTTGGCACCAGCAGGGCCACCTTGTGCCCCAGACATGTGATGTTTGGCACTAGCAGGGCCACCTTGTTCCCCAGACATGTGATGTTTGGCACCAGCAGGGCCACCTTGTGCCCCAGACATTTGATGTTTGGCACCAGCAGGGCCACCTTGTGCCCCAGACATGTGATGTTTGGCACCAGCAGGGCGACCTTGTGCCCCAGACATGTGATGTTTGGAACCAGCAGGGCCACCTTGTGCCCCAGACATGTGATGTTTGGCACCAGCAGGGCCACCTTGTGCCCCAGACATTTAATGTTTGGCACCAGCAGGGCCACCTTGTGCCCCAGACAAGTGATGTTTGGCACCAGCAGGGCCACCTTGTGCCCCAGACATGTGATGTTTGGCACCAGCAGGGCGACCTTGTGCCCCAGACATGTGATGTTTGGAACCAGCAGGGCCACCTTGTGCCCCAGACATGTGATGTTTGGCACCAGCAGGGCCACCTTGTGCCCCAGACATTTAATGTTTGGCACCAGCAGGGCCACCTTGTGCCCCAGACAAGTGATGTTTGGCACCAGCAGGGCCACCTTGTGCCCCAGACATGTGATGTTTGGCACCAGCAGGGTCACATTGCGCCCCAGACATGTGATGTTTGGCACCAGCAGGGCCACCTTGTGCCCCAGACAAGTGATGTTTGGCACCAGCAGGGCCACCTTGTGCCCCAGACATGTGATGTTTGGCACCAGCAGGGCCACCTTGTGCCCCAGACATGTGATGTTTGGCACCAGCAGGGCCACCTTGTGCCCCAGACATGTGATGTTTGGCACCAGCAGGGTCACCTTGTGCCCCAGACATGTGATGTTTGGCACCAGCAGGGCCACCTTGTGCCTCAGACATATGATGTTTGGCACCAGCAGGGCCACCTTGTGCCCCAGACATGTGATGTTTGGCACTAGCAGGGCCACCTTGTTCCCCAGACATGTGATGTTTGGCACCAGCAGGGCCACCTTGTGCCCCAGACATTTGATGTTTGGCACCAGCAGGGCCACCTTGTGCCCCAGACATGTGATGTTTGGCACCAGCAGGGCGACCTTGTGCCCCAGACATGTGATGTTTGGAACCAGCAGGGCCACCTTGTGCCCCAGACATGTGATGTTTGGCACCAGCAGGGCCACCTTGTGCCCCAGACATGTGATGTTTGGCACCAGCAGGGCCACCTTGTGCCCCAGACATGTGATGTTTGGTACCAGAAGGGCCACCTTGTGCCCCAGACATGTGATGTTTGGCACCAGCAGGGTCACCTTGCGCCCCAGACATGTGATGTTTGGCACCAGCAGGGCCACCTTGTGCCCCAGACAAGTGATGTTTGGCACCAGCAGGGCCACCTTGTGCCCCAGACATGTGACGTTTGGCACCAGCAGGGCCACCTTGTGCCCCAGACATGTGATGTTTGGTACCAGCAGGGCCACCTTGTGCCCCAGATATGTGATGTTTGGCACCAGCAGGGCCACCTTGTGCCCCAGACATGTGATGTTTGGCACCAGCAGGGCCACCTTGTGCCCCAGACATGTGATGTTTGGCACCAGCAGGGCCATCTTGTGTCCCAGACATGTGATGTTTGGCACCAGCAGGGCCATCTTGTGTCCCAGACATGTGATGTTTGGCACCAGCAGGGCCATCTTGTGTCCCAGACATGTGATGTTTGGCACCAGCAGGGCCACCTTGTGCCCCAGACATGTGATGTTTGTGTTATTGCTGTTCTACTGCTGAACAGCGGTTTAGTGCCGATGAAGGTAGCGTAGGTAGCAGTGATACGGCCGTGGACTGGTTTGGCTTTAATTGGGTAGGAGTGAGTACACAACGGGCAATGTGAGGGAGTGACCGCAAGCCAGTCCACGGAGGGGGAGCACTTGTGTACGTCAAGTCGGTCGGCCTCGGAGTGAGAGAGGGTGGGCTTTGCTTCCCACTGACCTAGGTAGGCCTACAGAGGGCAGCACTGAATGCCGCGAAATACGAACTAGTCAGAGCAGACGGCTAGGCTGTGTGCTCTGACAGTACAGGCTGTCTACATTTGCTCGGCCATGCACCTCGCGTCGTCCCGACGCGACAATACTGGTGGGCCCGTAGGTATAAAGGAATTACACTAGCTACCCCAGAGAGGGACTGGCTTTCGCTCACTAGTAAATAAAAAATGGACAAAAAAATGCAACAGGCAAAAAAAAAACTCTCCCAACCAGGGGAAGAGAAAACTGGTTTGCCCGGGCTGTTTCATCGAGTAGAGAGCCCGGAGACGTCAGCACTGGAACTAAAATCTTCTATATACAGGTTGTCCGCAGGGCTGAACATCAGTTGACCACTCGTCTACGAACGTTGTTGCACCCTCACATCTGCAAACAATGACTGACAGTAGCATTTCCTAAGGTGTGACATGTGACTCAGAGGGCAGCACTGCCCTGACCGTAATACAGGCTTTTTTTCCTTCAGTTATAAAACACTGGTGCACATACGTACAATAATACTATATCCATGGAATTCATTACACTCTGGGTACCCTTCTAAAAGTATTTACATAATTACATGATGTTGTCCACCCTGACTCTATTATCGACTAGCTATACAATGTGTGTGCATTTATACCCATTTCTGCAAGCAAACAATTAGCATAACTAGCGTAGGAGTCAGACAAGTCAGTAGGTACGTCAATGTCACAGAAATGTACTGTTGTCCTGGGTCGCAGGCCATAAGTATGGAGCCTTACTGGGCCGTCTTCGTCGTCTCCCACCGAGGCAGGGTGACCCAAAAAAGAAAGAAAATCCCCAAAAAGAAAATACTTTCATCATCATTCAACACTTTCACCACACTCGCACATTATCACTGTTTTTGCAGAGGTGCTCAGAATACAACAGTCTAGAAGCATACACATATAAAGATACACAACATATCCCACCGCTGCCACCACTGTTATTGCTGTTCTACTGCTGAACAGCGGTTTAGTGCCGATGAAGGTAGCGTAGGTAGCAGTGATACGGCCGTGGACTGGTTTGGCTTTAATTGGGTAGGAGTGAGTACACAACGGGCAGTGTGAGGGAGTGACCGCAAGCCAGTCCGTGGAGGGGGAGCACTTGTGTACGTCAAGTCGGTCGGCCTCGGAGTGAGAGAGGGTGGGCTGTGCTTCCCACTGACCTAGGTAGGCCTACAGAGGGCAGCACTGAATGCCGCGAAATACGAACTAGTCAGAGCAGACGGCTAGGCTGTGTGCTCTGACAGTACAGGCTGTCTACATTTTGCACCAGCAGGGGCACCTTGTGCCCCAGACATGTGATGTTTGGCACCAGCAGGGCCACCTTGTGCCCCAGACATGTGATGTTTGGCACCAGCAGGGCCACCTTGTGCCCCAGACATGTGATGTTTGGCACCAGCAGGGCCACCTTGTTCCCCAGACATGTGATGTTTGGCACCAGCAGGGCCACCTTGTGCCCCAGACATGTGATGTTTGGCACCAGCAGGGCCACCTTGTTCCCCAGACATGTGATGTTTGGCACCAGCAGGGCCACCTTGTGCCCCAGACATGTGATGTTTGGCACCAGCAGGGCCACCTTGTGGTCGTGTAAACAGTTCGTTACATAAATATTCTTGAAACATTGAAAACTTTTGCAACATTTGAGAATGTTTATTGTAGGAACGTTTCGCCAGCACGTGGCTTCTTCAGTCCGGTACAGAGATGAATAATGGAAGATGAGGTAATCAGTCCCTCAGCCTTGAGTCGATGTGTTCGGTCCTTCAATCTTGATGAAAAGTGCTTCTATCAAGACTGGTGGACTGATTACCTCAAACTTATCTACCACCATTCATCTCTGTACCGGACTGATGAAGCCGCTTCTTGGACAAGTTTCCACAAGGAAGACCCTCCAGGTATACCCTCCAGGTACACCCTCCAGGTGCACCCTCCAGGTACACCCTCCAGGTGCACCCTCCAGGTACACCCTCCAGGTATACCCTCCAGGTACACCCTCCAGGTGCACACTCCAGGTATACCCTCCAGGTATACCCTCCAGGTACACCCTCCAGGTATACCCTCCTGGTACACCCTCCAGGTGCACTCTCCAGGTATACCCTCCAGGTATACCCTCCAGGTACACCCTCCAGGTATACCCTCCAGGTACACCCTCCAGGTGCACCCTCCAGGTACACCCTCCAGGTGCACCCTCCAGGTACACCCTCCAGGTATACCCTCCAGGTACACCCTCCAGGTGCACACTCCAGGTATACCCTCCAGGTATACCCTCCAGGTACACCCTCCAGGTATACCCTCCTGGTACACCCTCCAGGTGCACTCTCCAGGTATACCCTCCAGGTATACCCTCCAGGTACACCCTCCAGGTATACCCTCCAGGTACACCCTCCAGGTGCACTCTCCAGGTATACCCTCCAGGTATACCCTCCAGGTACACCCTCCAGGTACACCCTCCAGTTACACCCTCCAGGTGCAACCTCCAGGTACACCCTCCAGGTACACCCTCCAGGTATACCCTCCAGGTACACCCTCCAGTTACACCCTCCAGGTACACCCTCCAGGTACACCCTCCAGGTACACCCTCCAGGTACACCCTCCAGTTACACCCTCCAGGTACACCCTCCAGTTACACCCTCCAGTTACACCCTCCAGGTACACCCTCCAGGTACACCCTCCAGGTACACTCTCCAGGTACACCCTCAAGGTACACCCTCCAGGTACACCCTCTAGGTGCACCCTCCAGGTACACCCTCTAGGTGCACCCTCCAGGTACACCCTCCAGGTACACCCTCCAGGTACACTCTCCAGGTACACCCTCCAGGTACACCCTCCAGGTAGACTCCATGTATGGAGTATATTCTGGTTAAGTAGTTAACTGAGAGTATTTTATGTATATTTAAGCACTGGTGTATGTATTGTATACATGATGCAGTGGGTGTATAATGCTTGTGTATATTAAGGTGTGTGTGTGTATGTTGCAGGAGTCCAGCCATCGATATTGACGATGTGTTCCAGCAGAAACAACGAGAGATCATGCAGGGCACTGACGACATGTCTAGAGTCCGGGACCTAGCTACTGTGAGTACTGATGCTTTCTGTTGAGTACTGTGAGTACTGATTCTTTGTGCTGAGTTCTGTGAGTACTGATTCTTTGTGCTGAGTACTGTGAGTACTGATTCTTTGTGCTGAGTACTGTAAGTACTGATTCTTTGTGCTGAGTACTGTGAGTACTGATTCTTTGTGCTGAGTACTGTGAGTACTGATTCTTTGTGTTGAGTACTGTGAGTACTGATTCTTTGTGTTGAGTACTGTAAGTACTTATTCTTTGTGCTGAGTACAGTGAGTACTGATTCTTTGTGTTGAGTACTATGAGTACTGATTCTTTGTGTTGAGTACTATGAGTACTGATTCTTTGTGCTGAGTACTGTGAGTACTGATTCTTTGTGTTAAGTACTGTAAGTACTTATTCTTTGTGCTGAGTACTGTGAGTACTGATTCTTTGTGTTGAGTACTGTAAGTACTGATTCTTTGTGCTGAGTACTGTGAGTACTGATTCTTTGTGCTGAGTACTGTAAGTACTGATTCTTTGTGATGAGTACTGTAAGTACTGATTCTTTGTGTTGAGTACTATGAGTACTGATTCTTTGTGCCGAATACTGTAAGTGCTGATTCTTTGTGCTGAGTACTGTGAGTACTGATTCTTTGTGCTGAGTACTGTGAGTACTGATTCTTTGTGCTGAGTACTGTAAGTACTGATTCTTTGTGCTTAGTACTGTGAGTACTGATTCTTTGTGCTGAGTACTAAGAGTACTGATCCTGTATGTTAATCGTGTCTGCCCAGTCTGTGTATAGATACAGTCTCTCACACACACAATGTTAGGACATTCCTACCATTATTTACAAGCTAACAACTATTGCCTACTTTATCTTATTGAAAGCCTTTATTTCGTTGATGTCATAATAACGTACGAACATGTTCCAGACTCGAGTCATCCTGGGAATAAATGATCTCAGATGAAGTGATGTTCTGGAGAAGGTTACAGTCAGAGTGAGGTTGCTGTTGGCTGCCCGTCTTGTTGTGTAGAAGTTAGCTTACCTCTCGCTGTCCTCGGAGTGGAGCCTAGTTTGGTACTTGTAGATAATAAGATCACCCACATTCCTCCGGTACTGAAGGCTCTGCTGACATGACACATCTGTCCAAGTTTTGTCCAGACGAGAGATGAGTTGTCTTGCTCTGTTTTCTGTTCTGTCAAGAAGTTGCAGATGAGATGGGGGGCAGGAAGTCCAAGAAAGTGGAGCATACTCTGGCTGCGAGCTTGTGCCTTGTTACCGTATCTTGCAACCTCTACTGTCGAGCAGATGCGAGATATGTCTAAGTAAGGTAAGCTTCCTGGCCACTTTTGACTGCAAGATTTACAACGTGGTTCTTCATAGTTTTAAGTCAGATTTCACACCAAGGATATCATCTTCATCCCCAAACACGAGCACTTTACCATTCAATGTTACCACTGCTCCAGCGTTACTATCATGATACCTAGAGACTATTTGTGTTTTCTCAGAAGCAAATGTGACCAGCCATCGTTTTATACAGGCTGATATAGCTGTAAGCTAGTGATTGATGTAGCTTAAGCAGTTGGAATTTCCTCTTTTGGATAAGTAAATGTCAGAGTACAGTCGTCTGCATATGCATGGGATTCTGGGATGAGTTGAAGGTCACGAAGTAGACATCCCATAATAATGGCCCAATACACTTTCCTGTGGGACATTTGTTGACTCTGTCCCGTTGAGAACTACGCTTTAAGGTAATCACTAAGGAGGTATAGTGCAGAGCCAGCGACTCCTTGTGATTGCAGTTTTGCCAAGAGTCCCTGGTGCCATACTCGGTCGAAAGCACCAGAATGTCCGGTGCTACTATAAAGCTGACCTTGGATTCATCCAGTGACTGGTGCCACATAGTGGCGAGGTTTAACGTCAGATCAGCACCAGAATGACCTTTTCTGAAGCCACATTGATGGTCACAAAGAAGCGAATGGTAGTCGAAAAATGCTGTCATTTGCCGTGAGAGTACTGTCTCAAGTATCTTGGCAGTGACTGACATGACTGACGCTGTTCTGTAGTTGCTGATTTCCACTATGTTGTTTTTGTAAATAGGGACTACATTTGCCCCTTTTCTCAGATGCCATTTACACTCTGCTAGGCAGTGCTGATAAATGCAAGTTAGAGGTGACCCTAGCTGGTCTGCACATCTCAGCAATCTTGGGCTCACCTTATCGAGACCCACAGCTTTTTCTTGATCCAGCGATTTAAGATACACTTTATCCTCCCTTATTGTCACTACTGACAACTTTGACACTGTTCTTGCGGCTAGCAAAGGAGGTTCCCTTTCTGGATCAGGAATTTGCATCTTGACAGCAAAGTGCTCAGCAAAGAGGGCAGCCTTCTCCTGAATACTAGTAGGGACGGTTCCATCCTGCCGATTTAGAGGCGGACATTGTCGATACTTGACTAAAGACCAGGTCTGGACTTCATCCTACCCTTATATGTCAGCCTCCCATCTAGAGATGGTCCACTTTTGGACAACCATTTCTCGAAAGGCTTGCCTGTGCAGGTTCCTGTTATAGTGGGCTGCTCACCTTCTCCAAGCCTTGTATTTAGCAGTAGCAGCCTCTCGACAACAAAAACTGAACCAAGCCTGATCTGAAGCCTTCGTCACATACTACCAGTGAGGAATATATTTTTGCTGGAGATTAAGGATATATTCAGTGAAGAATTTCATTTGTTTACCAACATCACCTTGGAGAAGAGCATTCCAATACGAGGTGGCGAGCTCAGGGCAAAATGCCTGCCAGTTTCCTCTTTCCCGCAGCCAAGTTATTCTTGTGGATTCTTCGCCTCGTTCTGCTGGAATCTAGTGTGGTAAAGACAGTGTTGTGGTCAGATGATCCAACATAGCCAAGGGGTTGACAAGTGACTTTGCCTTCAGACAGCTCACTCACTACTGGGTCGAGGGAGGAGCCAGAGATGTAAGGGAGTCAACAAAGTTTCTCGTGTCAAACAATGCAGGAAGTTCATCAAAGTCACTCTGTAAAAGATGTTGGTTGATGTTAACAACAATTATAATATACTGACATTTATGTTGAAGCAGAAGTGAGTCCACATTTTCCATCAGGAAGCTGATGAAGTTTTCTTGCTCCCGTTGAGGTATGTACATTGCACATGCTAGTACAGAGGTACTAGGGTTTATGCTGAGCTTGAGAAGCATCATCAAGGTGAATAGGGATGGCAACATCAGTGAGCTGGGCATTTGCACTTGTAGAAAACATACAGGAGTACTTTCTTGTTCTTGCCTGTCTCTTCTCATCCATGAGGTGTTGCCAGTAAATCCAACAAAATTTTCTGGAGTTCTTCGTCCAAAAATGTCTGCGCAACTGCGATCATGCCAGGACGCTGAGTGTTCACGACACTGTGTGCAAGTTCACCAACGTTGGTAATGAATCCTCTAATGTTGACCGACAGGATGCTGATAGACTGACTCCTCATGATTATGTTCAGCTTGTGTTGATGGGTGTAAGGTACTTATCCTTGAGACAGGTAGGACACCGGGGCAGCCACTGGGATGCAGGTCTATGGCCTTGTATGAGGCGCACAAACCACCTGCTGAGCCAAGATAGGAGCAATAAATGGTTTTGAAAACTGACAAGTTGAAGATTGAGACACTTATGCAACATATGGGAATCTTTATTAAGGAAACGTTTCCCCACAGAGTGGCTTCATCAGTCCAATACAAAGCAGAGATTCCCATATGTTGCATTAAGTGTCTCAATCTTCAGATAGGAGTAGCTGGGCGGGTGACGGGTGCGTTCACCAGTCCGAGATCCTGCTGGTTTGTTCCGAGAATAAATCCCTAAAGAACTGGTGATCCTGTATGTCAAGTTCCAGTCTGTTGTGACAGTGGTCTTCTTGATGTCCTTTTTGTGGCAATAACTGTTCCTGGTACCTCGCAGGAAGGTGTCAGCAGTGTGCCCCCTCCAGTGACAGTGAGAGCACTGCCTAGGTACCTGAGAGGGTGAACTCTTATTTCCTGCACCTCTTGTGTTTTGCTGCTGATTTCTCTATGTTGTGCTGGTGAGCCTCATGAATATGTACCTGGTGGGCGTTTACCTGGGACTGTTAGAAACAGGTCAGACAGCTGTAGGTGTCTACCTCTTTCTCTTTCACACCCTCATCCAAGTGCCAGGTCAAGTGCCAGGTCAAGTGCTTTGACCCGGCACTTGTTCAGGTGCAGTGTCGGTCAACTGGTGGAGAAAAACCTGACTCGGGATCGGCTGCTGGAGCACTGCTGCCAGGTGTACTGGCAGGTGTACTGGCAGGTGTACTGGCAGGTGTACTGGCAGGTGCACTGGCAGGTGTACTGGCAGGTGTACTGGCAGATGTACTGGCAGGTGTACTGGCAGATGTACTGGCAGGTGTTGGAACATGGATGGCAGTTGTACTTGCAGGTATTGGGGCAGTGATAGCAGGTGTACTGGCAGGTGTAAGAGGAGACCTGATAGCTCCAAGACTTGCTTCGTTGCTGGGTAATGGATCTGTACCCTCTATGGTGGCCATAGAAGTTGTATTAGGACTTTCAGATGTGGTCCTTTGAGCACTATCTGTAGAGCCCAAGTGCTGACAGATTTCCACCTGTTATTTGTTGTGTTAATCTCAACGTGAGAATTCCAGGCCTTGTAGTCTCAGCATCAGCTGAGCAACATACACGTTCTGCTCACCTCCGATAGTTTGAAGCTAATCTAATTAATAATTTTAGGATCTCACGAAGTGATTTCCTTTGATGGATTACCTTAGCTGCAACTTTACAATACATTCTAGAAGGTCAGTCTTGAGTACTGGACTGAGGTCGCTGAGGCACCTCTAAAGTTTCCCGTTGTGGCTCCAGACTCGTGTATAGTACGTATGTGACAGGTTCTTGGATATCTTTCCAGCGCCTGAGCTGATCCATCTGGCTACAGCAGAAGGCTTCTTCTACCATACAGTCTGCGTGACAGTAACTGTAACAGGTGGGTTCCAAACACTTGAGATGTGCACGGCCTCTTGTTGTGTATTCACAAACACTGCAGTAGCCTCTGGGACAATAACTATAGTGAAGTTAAACTAGTTCTCTCTCTGTCTTTTCTCTCTCTCTCTCTCTCTCTCTCTCTTGGTTCAAGTTTTCTCTGATCCCATGTCTCATTTCCTTGACACTAAGTGACCACTACGCTCATCCTTTATCCATAACTATAACAATCACATTCTGTAATACTCACTGTTGCGTCATTATTGTAATGGATGTCAACCTCACACCCTCCTACCTTGAACTAAGGGACTTAACACCTATCAACTTTTTAAAGCAAAGGACCTGAACACCTTTAATTACGTCTCTATTCCTTCCACCGTCTGCAGTGTAAAACTCACCTCTGTATTCGACTGAAGAAGCCAGCTTTACAGGCGATCAGTCGGGACAATAAAGCTACCCAAGTTTTACACATGTATCTTACTCATTATGTTTGTTCACAGAGACTAAAATTATCGACGCGTCGACCCTCGTACTTGGAGTGGATGGGAATGATCAAGCAGCGAGCTGAGGAAATGGGTGAGGTTCTGGAGGTACATACTCCAAGGGTGCTGGAGGAAGGGCAGAAGGAGGAGGAACTCTCTCCTGAGAAACGCAAGGATAACCTCCAGAGTGCCATGATCTGGCTCAGGAAGGAGCTGGTAAGTAAACTCTCTCTCAACTGTGAACAATGAGACACATGTTCAGCGTCTGGGTATCTATTTGTGGTATAAACCTTGGTAATAGATACCCACAATTTGGTTTAGAAAGACACGTGAGCAATCACTAGGACATATTAAACATTTCGGTCCTGGGACCTTGATTGTAATTCCTTCATCAAGGTCATTAATGTAAATTATGAACAGGAGAGGCCCTAAAACTGATCCTTGTGGAACGCCACTAGTGACTAATCCCCATTCAGATTTCACTCCATTAATGGTAACTCTCTACTTTCTATTGGTAAGCCATGCCTCAATCCATGCTAGAACTTTACCTCCTATATCATGAGCTGCCACTTTTCTTAAGAGTCTCTTGTGAGGTACTCTATCGAAAGCTTTACTAAAATCCAAATAAACAATATCATATTCCTTATCACTGTCGACTGCCTCAAATGTTCTATTGAAGAACGTCAGTAAGTTTGTCAGGCAGGAACGACCTCTCGTGAATCCATGCTGAGATTCATTTATCAAGTTATGCTCTTCAAGGTGACTTCTAATAATGTCAGCTATAATTGATTTTAATAACTTGCCCACTATAGATGTCAGGCTTATTGGACGGTAATTTGAAGGAGTGGACTTATCCCCCGGAGTATACCTGCAGAAGGTTTCGGGGGTCAACGCCCCCGCGGTCCGGTCTATGACCAGGCATCATGGTGGATCAGGGCCTGATCAACCAGGCTGTTACTGTTGGCCGCACGCAACCCGACATACGAACCACAGCCTGGCTGGTCAGGTAGTGACCATCTTCCACATCTCTGGCACAACACCAGTTTGGATGGAAGCGTAAACACGCTCGTTAATGGCTGACTAAGTTCCAACTCGCATTCCTTAAAGCAGCCTGGAAAATAATTCATGGAGGTCCGGGGACTTATTTTGCATCAGTTTATCTACGTGTTTGATAAGCACATCCCTGGTGACACTAATATTACCTTCACCTTCTGCTTGTCGTCACGAACTGAATGATTGTTCATTTCTGGGATATTATTTATGTCTTCCTGTGTAAACACTAACGAGAAATAACCATTAAATAGAGAACACATTTCCTGGTGACTATGACTCAGGTGTTCATCCCCAGGTCTCAGCGGTCCCACTATGACTCAGGTGTTCATCCCCAGGTCTCAGCGGTCCCACTATGACTCACGTGTTCATCCCCAGGTCTCAGCGGTCCCACTATGACTCACGTGTTCATCCCCAGGTCTCAGCGGTCCCAGGATGACTCAGGTGTTCATCCCCAGGTCTCAGCGGTCCCACTATGACTCACGTGTTCATCCCCAGGTCTCAGCGGTCCCACTATGACTCAGGTGTTCATCCCCAGGTCTCAGCGGTCCCACTATGACTCAGGTGTTCATCCCCAGGTCTCAGCGGTCCCACTATGACTCAGGTGTTCATCCCCAGGTCTCAGTGGTCCCACTATGACTCAGATGTTCATCCCCAGGTCTCAGCGGTCCCACTATGACTCAGGTGTTCATCCCCAGGACTCAGCGGTCCCACTATGACTCAGGTGTTCATCCCCAGGTCTCAGTGGTCCCACTATGACTCAGGTGTTCATCCCCAGGTCTCAGCGGTCCCACTATGACTCAGATGTTCATCCCCAGGTCTCAGCGGTCCCACTATGACTCAGGTGTTCATCCCCAGGTCTCAGCGGTCCCACTATGACTCAGGTGTTCATTCCCAGGTCTCAGCGGTCCCACTATGACTCAGGTGTTCATCCCCAGGTCTCAGCGGTCCCACTATGACTCAGGTGTTCATCCCCAGGTCTCAGTGGTCCCACTATGACTCAGGTGTTCATCCCCAGGTCTCAGCGGTCCCACTATGACTCAGGTGTTCATCCCCAGGTCTCAGCGGTCCCACTATGACTCAGGTGTTCATCCCCAGGTCTCAGCGGTCCCATTATGACTCAGGTGTTCATCCCCAGGTCTCAGCGGTCCCACTATGACTCAGGTGTTCATCCCCAGGTCTCAGTGGTCCCACTATGACTCAGGTGTTCATCCCCAGGTCTCAGTGGTCCCACTATGACTCAGGTGTTCGTCCTCAGGTCTCAGTGGTCCCACTATGACTCAGGTGTTCATCCCCAGGTCTCAGCGGCCCCACTATGACTCAGGTGTTCATCCCCAGGTCTCAGCGGTCCCATTATGACTCAGGTGTTCATCCCCAGGTCTCAGCGGTCCCATTATGACTCAGGTGTTCATCCCCAGGTCTCAGCGGTCCCATTATGACTCAGGTGTTCATCCCCAGGTCTCAGCGGTCCCACTATGACTCAGGTGTTCATCCCCAGGTCTCAGCGGTCCCAGTATGACTCAGATGTTCATCCCCAGGTCTCAGCGGTCCCAGTATGACTCAGATGTTCATCACCAGGTCTCAGCGGTCCCAGTATGACTCAGGTGTTCATCCCCAGGTCTCAGCGGTCCCACTATGACTCAGGTGTTCATCCCCAGGTCTCAGCGGTCCCAGTATGACTCAGATGTTCATCCCCAGGTCTCAGCGGTCCCACTAAGACTCAGGTGTTCACCCCCAGGTCTCAGCGGTCCCACTATGACTCAGGTGTTCATCCCCAGGTCTCAGCGGTCCCACTATGACTCAGGTGTTCATCCCCAGGTCTCAGCGGTCCCACTATGACTCAGATGTTCATCCCCAGGTCTCAGCGGTCCCACTATGACTCAGATGTTCATCCCCAGGTCTCAGCGGTCCCACTATGACTCAGATGTTCATCCCCAGGTCTCAGCGGTCCCACTATGACTCAGATGTTCATCCCCAGGTCTCAGCGGTCCCACTATGACTCAGATGTTCATTCCCAGGTCTCAGCGGTCCCACTATGACTCAGATGTTCATCCCAGGTCTCAGCGGTCCCACTATGACTCAGATGTTCATCCCCAGGTCTCAGCGGTCCCACTATGACTCAGGTGTTCATCCCCAGGTCTCAGCGGTCCCACTAAGACTCAGGTGTTCATCCCAGGTCTCAGCGGTCCCAGGATGACTCATGTGTTTCATCCCCAGGTCTCAGCGGTCCCACTATGACTCAGGTGTTCATCCCCAGGTCTCAGCGGTCCCACTAAGACTCAGGTGTTCATCCCCAGGTCTCAGCGGTCCCAGGATGACTCATGTGTTCATTCCCAGGTCTCAGCGGTCCCACTATGACTCAGGTGTTCATCCCCAGGTCTCAGCGGTCCCAGGATGACTCAGGTGTTCATTCCCAGGTCTAAGCGGTCCCACAATGACTCAGGTGTTCATCCCCAGGTCTCAGCGGTCCCACTATGACTCAGGTGTTCATTCCCAGGTCTCAGCGGTCCCACTATGACTCAGGTGTTCACCCCCAGGTCTCAGCGGTCCCACTATGACTCAGGTGTTCATCCCCATATCTCAGCGGTCCCAGGATGACTCATGTGTTCATTCCCAGGTCTCAGCGGTCCCACTATGACTCAGGTGTTCATCCCCAGGTCTCAGCGGTCCCAGGATGACTCAGGTGTTCATTCCCAGGTCTAAGCGGTCCCACAATGACTCAGGTGTTCATCCCCAGGTCTCAGCGGTCCCACTATGACTCAGGTGTTCATTCCCAGGTCTCAGCGGTCCCACTATGACTCAGGTGTTCACCCCCAGGTCTCAGCGGTCCCACTATGACTCAGGTGTTCATTCCCAGGTCTCAGCGGTCCCACTATGACTCAGGTGTTCATCCCCAGGTCTCAGCGATCCCACTATGACTCAGGTGTTCACCCCCAGGTCTCAGCGGTCCCACTATGACTCAGGTGTTCACCCCCAGGTCTCAGCGGTCCCACTATGACTCAGGTGTTCACCCCCAGGTCTCAGCGGTCCCACTATGACTCAGGTGTTCATTCCCAGGTCTCAGCGGTCCCACTATGACTCAGGTGTTCATCCCCAGGTCTCAGCGATCCCACTATGACTCAGGTGTTCACCCCCAGGTCTCAGCGGTCCCACTATGACTCAGGTGTTCACCCCCAGGTCTCAGCGGTCCCACTATGACTCAGGTGTTCACCCCCAGGTCTCAGCGGTCCCACTATGACTCAGGTGTTCATCCCCAGGTCTCAGCGATCCCACTATGACTCAGGTGTTCATGCCCAGGTCTCAGCGATCCCACTATGACTCAGGTGTTCATCCCCAGGTCTCAGTGGTCCCACTATGACTCAGGTGTTCATCCTCAGGTCTCAGTGGTCCCACTATGACTCAGGTGTTCATCCTCAGGTCTCAGTGGTCCCACTATGACTCAGGTGTTCATCCCCAGGTCTCAGTGGTCCCACTATGACTCAGGTGTTCGTCCCCAGGTCTAAGCGGTCCCACTATGACTCAGGTGTTCATTCCCAGGTCTCAGCGATCCCACTATGACTCAGGTGTTCATTCCCAGGTCTCAGCGATCCCACTATGACTCAGGTGTTCATTCCCAGGTCTCAGCGGTCCCACTATGACTCAGGTGTTCATTCCCAGGTCTCAGCGGTCCCACTATGACTCAGGTGTTCATTCCCAGGTCTCAGCGATCCCACTATGACTCAGGTGTTCATCCCCAGGTCTCAGCGGTCCCACTATGACTCAGGTGTTCATTCCCAGGTCTCAGCGGTCCCACTATGACTCAGGTGTTCATACCCAGGTCTCAGCGGTGCCACTATGACTCAGGTGTTCATTCCCATGTCTCAGCAGTCCCACTATGACTCAGGTGTTCATTCCCAGGTCTCAGCGATCCCACTATGACTCAGGTGTTCATCCCCAGGTCTCAGCGGTCCCAGTATGACTCAGGTGTTCATCCCCAGGTCTCAGCGGTCCCAGTAAGACTCAGGTGTTCATCCCCAGGTCTCAACGGTCCCACTATGACTCAGGTGTCCATCCCCAGGTCTCAGTGGTCCCACTATGACTCAGGTGTTCATCCCAGGTCTCAGCGGTCCCACTATGACTCAGGTGTTCATTCCCAGGTCTCAGTGATCCCACTATGACTCAGGTGT